TAAAAGCTATTGGATTGAGATTTTTTTCAAAATTAATGTAACAGGAAAATTCAAATATTTTGAAAAATGGCAGTTTTGATTTACAGATCAAATTATGGGTAAATATATATACATATACATTTGTTTCTAATATTGTACATTTTGAAGTAAATCAGGAAAAGGAAAGTAATATGTAATTGAAAAATAATGCACAATAGGCATGCATGCAACTATAAGTTACAAAATATTATATTTTACAGTTTTTTTCGTAAAATAATACACATCTTTTAAAGAAAATTTAAGAGTCAGTATATGCATTATATGGAAAACATGTCTTTAAATTATAATTAAACCTAGTTGTCAACGTTTAGAATATAACTTCACAATGAGAATGTGCAATTACGAATGAACTAAATGATGATGTAATATTGATTGCCACTACAATCGAAACTGTTCCTGAGTCGATATAACTATATACTTTAAATTTTTATTTAACCGATAGTTTTTGCCACTATGAATAAAGAAAATCAATACAGTTATACCATTATAATTATACAGAGATAAAATGTAGAATTTTATTCATTTTCATCTAAACCTTTCGACTTCTTTTTTTTCTTTTTTTTTACTGGCTCTTCAGTTTCTTCTTGTACTCCATTCTCCTTTCCATTTGTTAAGACTTCACTTTTTCGTTTTTTATCTTTTTTCTTTTTCTTTTTAGATGGTTCTTGTTCTAAACTCGCTATTACTTGTGCAGCCTCTTCCAATGCTTCCTTCATTACTTCTATATTTTTCCTAGGTATTTCTCCAGTTTCATAGAATTTCAATCTATCTTCTACTTGTTGCCGCAATTTTTCACCAAACACATTAGTTGGTATATCGGTAAAGCAATCAATTCTTGATGCTATAGAACATTTATTTGCAAGATACCTTGAAATTCTACCTTTATTTTTTGTACCTGCACGACCAATAAAAGTTGAATGGAACAATAATCCGTATTTTGGTGTGTTACCTTTTGTTTTTAATGCTCTAAATAAGGCTTTTTCCGCCCCTAAAATTTGTACAGTAGAAGCAGGATATTTAGCTAAATTTGTAAGAGATCCAGCATGTGCTATTAATCTAGCTCCTACTTGGTCGCCAATTAACGTAGCTAAATTCGGTGCTACTCCTGCCATTTTAGATTTCAAATATTCTGCTAATTGTTTTCTGTAATCAGCCAAAGCAATAACACGTGCTGCAAACATTTCTATATTAAGAAGATCAACAGGACTGATATCCATTCCCATGGATGATTTGGATGCATCAATAATTGCTCGAGCTTTAGCACTATCCATAACAACATTTTCCAAAGCTTCTAATTTTTCATCTGTAAGTTCTTTTCTGTTTTTTATTAATTGTGCAACTTTGGCATACATATAATTCTCAGGAACTATTTTTACAAGTTCTGGAAAATGATAACTATACCATTCCCTGAAAGTATTAAATATTTTAAATATAATCAAGTATTTTTACAAGTTAATTTATAATTAAATATGCTTTAAATTTTTACCTTATACGCATACTAAATGTATTAACATCTTTGTCCAATTGATCTAACAAAGCTATGCTTTGTATGATCATATTATCCACTCGATTGACATTAAATTTAACTTTAGCTCTAGAATAACTATGACCAAGTCCAAGTTGTGCAACTCCAGAACTTTTAGCAGTGAATCCTTTTACCAAGTTATGAAAATGAAATCTGATTCCTCTAATGATTTCTGGAATGGCACCAGTATGATCGCATTTTATATCTAATGTTTCACTAATGCTAGCTCCAAGTTTTGGGTCTGCTACACCCAGCACAATCTTGTCCTTCTTTCGAGCTTTTGGTATACATGAGTCCAAGAATAACTGTAAATCTTCTGGCACAATACCTTCAGAAATATTATTTATACTTTCTAAAGCTGCTAAAGCAGTTTTAAAAGGTGAAAAACCAATTAGTTTTACAACTGCATTAAAGCGAGATAAATCTGTGACAGATGCTTCAACTTGAGGCAATAACATTCCTACCTCCTCAAATTCTCTGACAAAAAAGACAGCATAGCCAGCAGCATGCTCGAATAAGACATAAAGTTTTGACTGAAACAAAAATTTTATATTATAACATTATATACATTATTACAGACAGATAAACCTACTGCACATGAGTATTGTTACAAATAACAATCACAACTGATTACTTTCCATAAAATTTAAATAAATCATATTTCTCACTTGTTTTGATACTTAAAAATTTCACAACACATGTAAAAAAAATATAAATATCTATACCCCTATAATGAACATTCTTAATATAAGAATACTTAACGAATATTGTTATGATATAAAAACATAATTCATTGAGAAAATTTCAAACTTTTTACATGTGTTTTTATGATCGTTTAAATAAAATTTTTTTGTTTCTATATCTACACTAAACAGACATATAAACATTGATCACAATTCATCACATTGAATACAATTTTTAGTATTAACATACAAAAATTAATTCATTTTAACTTTATTTTAAATAGAATATATTGTTACACTAGGTATTATTATATCAAAGTTAAAATATTGTTTTGTAAAACATATAGATCGAAATATTTTAATATTTATACTACAAAGTAATTTAATAATATAATTAAAATGTAGACTTACCATGATTCTCTTTTTTTATATTCCATTCAATATTTTTAAACAATTACTATACAAACCCAAAACGCATTACTGTGGTTAAGAAGCGACCATGTGTTCCGGATGTAGCACAAACAGAAATATGGAGTTTTTAGTGCTTCCTGAAATTTGAATTTTTATAGAAATTCCTACACAAATTTTGTACATTTAAAAAATTGTTGATTAAGATGATATATACAGTGATTTTAATGTAAAATATTCTTGAAGATTACAATAACGTAGTAAAATTATATTTCTTAATATTTGTTTGCTTAGAAGCAGTCACATTTACGATTAAGTTCGGTGTAGTTATACATGCTCCTTTACGTTATGTATGTAAGTGGATGTCTCTATCCTCTTTTACAATATTTAAGTTTTACGTAAATTAGTTTATACTTAGAACGTTAGTAGTTAATTAGTATAAAAATCTTTAATGATATTGCGAACAAGTAGATTACGGATTTGTCGTTAAGGTCTATAATAATTTCTTAGAATGTACGTAAATGTTTTAGTGTTTGTAGGTTATGTTTATTTATATTATTTAGTAGATATGACTTTTGTAAACTTTGTTTTTTTTTTTTATTTAAGAATGGAGTCTCGGACAGAATTTAAAATAAAATCTCCTCCAACCGATGCGATTTCGGCGGTGGAGTTTGGACCAAATTCAACGCAGTTTCTTCTTGTTTCATCATGGGATAGTACAGTGCGGTTGTATGATATTCATGCAAATACTATGAGATTAAAGTATAATCATGATTTGCCAGTTTTAGATGTTGCATTTCAGGTAATTATAAATTTATTAATTTTTTTTATTTCAATAACTTTTCATGTAATGTTGCATTTATGAGATAAACAAATTTGAAAATGCATTAATAACACAAGTGGTATTCAGCAATATATTATTGTATTTGTTTATTTAAAGCAAAAAAAAAAGGAACAGGAAAAATATATAGCACTTAAATGCAAAATAATGTAAGTTGGAATTCTGTATGATACAGAATATTAAAGCAAAAGTAAAGAGGAAAAATAATATATATATGTTTAAATACAATGTTGTACATTTTTATACATATTATGTTTTTTATTATTATTGAATATAGTTGCATTTTTCTTGAATATTTGTAACTTTTTTTACACTATCCATTTTTTATCACAAGGATTACAAAAGATCTTTCTTTAATAGGATGCTGTTCATGCTTACAGTGGTGGACTAGGAAATACATTGAAGATGTATGATATTAATAGTAATACTGGTATTAACATCTATATTCTTATCTTTATGTATATTTGTTATAATATAGAAAAATCATATAAAGAAATCTTTTTATAGAGTCAGTGATGGGGACACATGATAAACCAATTAGGAAAATTGAATATTGTGCTGCAGTAAATGCAATATTAACTGGTGGATGGGATGCAGCAGTAAAACTTTGGGATCCCAGAACACCAACTTGTGTAGGTAGTTATTTACAACCTGATGTCGTTCTTGCTTTGTCTGTGTGTGGAGATAAGTTTGTAGTAGGTACAGCCAAACGGAAAGTTTGTATTTGGGATCTAAGAAATATGGCTGGTATGTTTCAAAGACGTGAAAGCAGTTTGAAATATCAAACACGATGTATTAAAGGCTTTCCTAATGAACAAGTAAGTTTTATATACTGAAAATCAAAAAATTGTATACATAATGTTTTACTTTAACACTTATGTGAAATTTCGTTTATTGTTAATTTTTTAATGACTTTTAGGGATATGTTCTTAGTAGTATAGAGGGTCGTGTTGCTGTTGAATATCTTGATACAACACCAGAAGCACAGAAAAAGAAATATGCTTTTAAATGTCATAGGATAAAGGAAAACAATGTAGAACATATATATCCAGTGAATGCTATTAGCTTTCATTCAACTTATAATACATTTGCAACTGGTGGTTCGGATGGTTATGTGAATATTTGGGATGGTTTTAACAAAAAGCGTTTATGTCAGTTTCATAGATATAATTCCGGCGTTGCTGCTCTTAGTTTTAGTCATGATGGTTCTGTACTTGCGATAGGAGTATCATATTTGAATGGAGCTGAAATTCCACCAGGTGGAAAGGATGAAAGAGAAATTTATATCAGATATGTAAATGACCAAGAAACTAAACCAAAATAATATCGTATTATTGTACAAAATTTTTTACAGACAAAAATAGATTAAAACTTTTTTAACTACACCCTGCTTATTGAAGCAGCAAACTGAATGCTAAAGCCTCTTTACAGAAATTAAGAACTGTTTGTAATGTATAATATTTACTGACAGTGTCCTATTTTACATTTTTGTATTTTAAATAATTGACTGATAATCATATGAATTCTACAACTGGAGTAATACTTGTTTTATATCTTATTTCAACATAAGTTTCATAATTATCACTAGAATTAAAAAAAAAAACTTGTCCACAAGTTGTATTTTATCTTTTATTTTACTTTTAAATAAGTTCATATTTAATACTTAAAATACAAATTATATAATACGTTTACTAGTGTATAAGTAAATAATACTACTTTATTCAAATTAAAAATATTTTAATAAAAATTAAACACGATATACTGCAGCATTTCATACATCTGTTACAAAAATATTATTTAAGTACATTTATTTAAAAACAATGCACATTAGAAAATTTAATGAAAAATTTGTTTAAAGAAAAACGTAGATTTTAAACTGTTGTCCTTATTAAGCAATCAACAAGATCAAATTAAATAGTCAAATACTTTACAGTACACAGTAAACTCCATATTAAATATGTACAATATTAAAATAATTTGGAGTTTGTAAAATCATTGTGGACTATGCTATAAAAGAATGAGTTATCATGAATCATTTGCTAGTCATTAATATTGTATCTTCATTATATAATATTTATGAAATTATTGTTGTTCATATTCAAAACTTATTGGTTGTTAGAAAGCTGCTGCTGTGCTGCAGAATTTAACATTACTATTTAGTTAATGATGCAAAACAATTACTGCTTTTTTTTAATACCTTGATTAATGTGAAAAATTTAGATTTCTATTCTGTTTATTAAATTTATTCCTGTAAATATTGAAATTTAAAAAATGCTTTTATTTATCTTGTATCATTAATTAAAAAGTTGAAATTCGTAAGGACAGTTGCATTGACACACGTCATGCATAACATTCACATTACAAATAAACTAAAAATTAATATTTGCGCAATGTGTTTTCGCTTTTTACTGATTTACATAACCTGTATGACATGCATTTTGTAATAGTTTAACAATTTTTATAACATTTTTTTATCTTTGAAAACTGTATAATTTCATTACATCATTACAGTATAATTTAACTAATTACAATTTTTTTATATTTTCATAAATTTTACATATTTTTATACAGAGTGTCAACAGATTTCTGCAAAAAACTTTGGTAGCATATGGCTATTGTTAGCCATGAAAACCTGTTAGATATCCCATATTTAAAACAATTTTTCTTTCTAGTTAAATGCCCTATATTAATGGACTTAGTAGCCATTTTCGTTTAATTTTTCTAACTGTATATAACATTTTCTTTTTATATTTTTGTCGAGGTATTTTGACTAATTATTTTCCTTAACGTATCACGGATTGTATCGTGTGTTGCGAAACTAATTCCTACAGCAATTGGGCCTTTCACCCAGTTCATGCTCAATCCTTTGTAGAAGGCCATTATACCTTCTTCTCTGAAAGTGATAAAAAATTATATATAAAATATTTTTGTTAGCTGTACAAGCCAATATTAATACAAAAAATATTTTCAACTGTTATAAAACTTGTATGAAAATTTCATATTATTTGATATTAATTTTTAGAAATATCAAAAGATTTTTAGTAAATTTGTATTTTAAACTTACTTGTAAACTTTCATTATGGTTGAGCCAATCGTGTGATAGTGCTGACCCTTGACTGCCGAGGTCTGCATTCTCCTCCGAACGATGTCCAAAGGATAGCTGCTAGTCTGGGCAATCATTCCAGCAATGGCGCCACAAATCAGTGATGTCGAGAACCCAGGAATAGTCACCGCGTACACTGTTCATCGACACGTAGCCATCATCGAACATGAAGCACGTACTTGAAAAACGCCGCCATCGGACTTGTTTTGACAAGCGTCGCTATTAAAGTAAGTACTGTCGCAATATCGGGAAACAGCCCCGATGTGCCCCACGGGTACCCTGCTTTTCGATCATACACGAGCCACTTTCGTTCGTATAAATCACGATTTTTTTTTTTGCGTGTAAGCACCGTCACGGCGTAGAATAAGTTTATAAAAGAATCAACTCACCACTTAATAAATTCTTGAGTAGATCGTATGTGAAGAAACTGCAGCCAGCATAAGGAATGACACCGAGTAACGTTGCGGTGAATCCACGGTAATAGGCCAATATTCCTTCTTCCATGTAAATGCGCACAAAAATCTGTCGCAATGTTTTGTACTCAGTTTTCTGAGTTACAGCCATTCTTGCTCTCATCAAATCCAGGGGATAAGTTGTACCTTGAGATGTTTTTTTCAATGCACCAGCAAGAAAATTCAACCCAGGCTTTTTTCTATTTATAACAAACATTTTTAGTAAATAATTATAATGTCATCACAATTATATTTTATGCTTATTAAAGAGATAATTGAAATAGATTTATATTGTACTAATGATTAATTTTTAACTAAAGTGATATAGACTTCTGTAGACTATTTTCAAATATTTATGACTACTTATGTTTAAAAATATGATAGTATGTACTATTATTACAAAAAGTCTAATAGATGTTCTACATTATATTAACTTATGATATATTAACTTGGTTTTAATTTTACAGCCTTACCTTTCTGACCCATTTACTCCCAAAATTCTTTTCCATTGTTCATGAGCCGTGAATTGAACAGCAGAATATGGAACAATTCTAACCATAGTTGCACTATTCCCACGCCATAAGCTTAATAAACCTTCTGTTCTAAGAGTTTGTATTAAAAATTTAACTGCTGCTTTTGCTGAATATGGCTGTTTTGAAATTTGGAAGTTTATTTTTGTACGATCTAAAGGTGCTATTGTTGTTTTTGCCAATGCTCCTGCAATGGCACCTGATACCAAACTTGTCCATACCCTTTGTGTATTTGAGATACCATCACTCCCATCATTTTTTTCTTGTTTCTTCTGAAATACACAATTTAATGTTGTGTATGATATAGTTGAATATCAGATTTTCCACTGACTGAAATCAGATATGCAATGAAATTCA